CCCCCTCCTCCCTCCCTCCCTTCCTTCCTTCCTTCCTCTCTTTCTTTCCTTCTTTCCTTTCCCTTCTTTCTTTCTTTCCCTCTCTCCCTCCCTCCCTTCCTTCCTTTTTCGCTTAACGACATTTCCTGAGTGTTTTCTGCCCTCATTATCTCACTTCCTTCCATGCCTACTCCTTAAAACTTGGTCATTAAGTTTCTGCCCCCCTCCTGTCCACTAAGATGGATTTCCTCAAAATCGCTGGGACCCGCTGCTGCTAAATCCAGTGGGCATTTCCATTTCCTGTTTGTGTGACCCACCAGTGCACTTGGCACTGTGGACCGTTCCCTTCCTCCGAGTCTCACCTCCTCTGTCTTCTGTCACTCTCCCTGTTTTCTTCCCATCTCTCTGGTCACTCATTTTTCATCTCCTTTAATGCTTTTGCTGAACGTTGTTGGAATGTTCCTGCCCTTTGTTATTCTTCCCTAGGCCCTCTGCTCCTGTCAGCCTTCATACTTTGACCGGGCTCTATAAGTATCTAACTATGGTGACATCTATATAATCAGGACTTTGGGTTGCAAACGACAGCAACCCAATTCACACTGGCTCAAGCAAAACTAAAGAGAAGGGTTTGGCTAGCATAATAGGCTAGTTTAGACGCAGAGCTGAACTTCGTATGTCTGAATCTAAGGACTGAAATGCTGTTGTCAGGCCTCTTTCTCTCTGTATTAGTTTGTTCTCACGCTGCCAATAAAGACATACCCCAGAGTGGGTAATTTATAAAGGAAAAAGGTTTAAAGGACTCACACTTCCACGTGGCTGGGGAGGCCTCCAAATCATGGTGGAAGGTGAATGAAGAGCAAAGTCATGTCTTACATGGCGGCAGGCAAGAGAGCTTGTGCAGAGGAACTCATATTTATAAAACCATCAGATCTTGTGAGACTTACTCACTACCACGAGAACAGTATGGGGGAAACTGCCCCATGATCCAATGATCTCTACCTGGCCCTACCCTTGACATATGGGGATTACTGCAATTCAAGGTGACATTCGGGTGGGGACACAGCCAAAACATATCACTCTCCCACCATTCCATCTTCAGCTCTGTCTCTATCATTGTCTTGGCCTTATTCTCTTCTAATGAAGACAGCTGGGAATCCTCACTGACCAGTGATTAAGACCCGTGGGGCAGATGGAGATGAGCAAATCTTGGGGTGTGTATATAACAAGGCATAGTATAATGTCGTCACTCTACCGCAAACACAAACCTGCTATTTCTGTACTTTTTGATTTAATGATTGGTAGCACCAGAGACTCGGTAACTTGAGCCAGAGATTCAGAGTTCTCCTTGACTTTTCTCCTTCCTCCCATGTTCGATCCTTTGCCAAATGCAGTCAGTTCTGCCTCCAAAACATCTCTTGACCCTGACCACTTTCTGTCCCCATGACCACACACACTTCCAGGCCTTCTTTTCTACCGTGGCTATTGGAATCGTCTCCAGATGTGCTCTTTACCTTTCGTCTCATTCACCTCCAAAGTGTGCCCCACCCTGTAGGCAGCATGATCTTCCCAAAACACAAGCTAATCAAGTTACGCTCTATAGAAGTTCTTCCAAGCTCTTTGTGGTCCTGTGTATAAAGATCCAAACACAAGGCCCCTCATGCTCCAGCCGCCGTGTAATCCCTTCCTCTTGTCTTAAGTGCTACAGTACAGCCAGGATGAACTTCTCGTAGCCTTTGTGCCATGCTGTGCTCTCATTTCGTCTATCCGTTCACTCCTCCGGTGAGTGTCTGGTGAGTGTCTGCTATGTCCCGTAGTTGCAGGCACCGCGATCCCAACAGAGATACTCTTGCTCTTGAACCTTTGCACATGCTGTACCTCCCACCTGGAATGTCCTCCCCTTGTGTAGACAATGCAAACTGACTGCTCACAGTCTTCTCCCTTGTCTTCCTATTACAGAGATTGGGAAACGAAGACTCAGCTTTCCTTGTAGAGGACAGACAGTTCTGATCAATGAGATCAAGGTGGAAGTCCATAGAGAGGGCATCCTTTCCTGAATAGAAGTCCTTACTAAGGGCTCTCTGCCTTTCTCTCTCCTTTCCACCAGGAACACGACTGTAAAGCCAATGGGTGCAACGGCTATCCTGCAACTATGTAGATGCAAGAAGGATAAATGATCAGTGATAAAGGACTCAATTCGAAGGAGAATGCGTGGAAATAAGGGCGTGGCTTTAAGGCCGCTGTGTATAGTCACGTGGGTTGTGTGTTGCACAATTCTAGGAGGATCACCATAATAGACTGTGACATGGTTAAGCTGTGGCCCTAGTCCCGCCTCTCGTCTGGCCTCTGAAAGGAAGAAAGTGAAGGGAATGGCAGCAAGCCCTGAATTCTGTGAATTGTGAATTCTCCCAAATCTCTCTAGAAACCAAATTGTTTCCATAATTCTTTAGGACGAGGCGTTTGAAACTCAAAGGCTGAGAATTGATTTCATCTTCTGCTGTGTCAACCTTTCCCTAAGGCAATGAGTGATGACTCACCTGATTTGGACCAGGAGAGAAATCCAGACTGGAGGAAAGTATGGGGAGAGGGGTAGAATTCATTGGTTAATATTTCAAAATCTTAGCCTGCAACAAATGTACCCAGAAAGTCCGTGCCAAGCAATATAAATACTCTTAAAAGCAAAGCAATAATTCTGCTTAAATTGGAGTCGGAAATGAGGAAAAGCTGGAGAAAGCTCCCCAAGGAGGGTGATGGTTGGACTGGCTGGACTTTGAAGACCACATTTATTTTGGCAAAACAGGGAAGGCATTCTATACAAAGGTCTGGCATAAGCGAAGTCAGAGAGGCCACGTGTGCATGGTACATTGGCAGAAGTAATCAAGCGTGGCAAAGGAGTGGCCAGGAGGGAGGCTGGTGCAAGGGTGAGAAAGTTCTTGAATGTGCAACTTTCAGGAAGCTGAGGAAAGGATGGAGAAGTCCTGACTGTCCTCTCACGGACATCCCCACCTGGCCTCAGGTGTCCGTACAGCCCCTTCACCCTGCTTGATAAGCAACTGCCCAGTGCCGGCTACTCCGGAGAAGTCATGGGAGCCTACACTGGCCCTGGGCGAGTGTACACTCCAGGTGACAGGGTTGCCCCGGCTCATGGGCTCACTGTCTCCAGAGAGCTTGGTCCCTGGTGTCTTCTGGGAACAGCCCTTCTTGCTTAGGTCTTTAGCACACACCTAAGGAGGGAGAGAACTGCCGTCAGCAGACCTGGCTGCAGCAGACCTCTGTCTTCTCCCAGCCATGGCTGGGGAGAAGGAACTTCTTCGCAAGGTGTTTTGCAGCTGCTCCTCTGGGCCCACCATGCTCTTTCTGCACCATCTTGGCACTCAGCACTGTGTGTGCTCACCCAGATATAAACTGAGCTCTGAACTGTATTTAGTCTTAGTCACAGTCCCAGTGTGGGATTCCCTCCCCTGCCTACCCCGCCCCTACCCTTGGAAACAAGTGAGTGGGAGCCTTTCTCATCTCTGGGGGGTGGATCGCTCCCCCCTGCCCAGAGCGAGTGGGAAGAATGCTGTGCTTGGGGAAGGATTCTGGGGTGCGCGCTTTCCAAGCCTTCCTGCTTCCTCAATGGATCATGAATCTCAGTCCCCCATCCTGGGAAGGGCTGCTCCCAGAGAGCTGAGAGAGGAGCTGGGTAGGTGGGGTCATTATAGCCCTCAAGGGTGCACTCAAGCCAGTGAGGACCACCCACGGAATCAGGGAGCATTCCTGAACCCCATTTACCCTCTATTTGGATAGAAAGTAAAGGTGATGATCATCTTTTGATTCTATTCTCATCTTGCCCAAATCCCCACTTTCTAGAGTCAAGGAGGCCAACCCCTTTATGGGTATAGATTTTCATACAACCTACTTCCGTCAGCTATGAGCTCATACGGCTTAGGCCGGTTCCTGCTTGGTTCCCAGCACCCATTGACCTCCTGATCTCTGGTAGGGATAAGAGCGTGCTTCGTTTTTCTATTGCTGCTGTAATAAATGACCACACATTCAGCAGCTGAAAATGACATCTGCTTCTTAGCTTACAGTTTTAGCAGGGCAGAAGTCCAATATGGGTCTCCCTGAATCAAAATTGAGGTGTCTGCAGGCTGCATTCCTTGCTGGAGGCTCGAGGAAGAATCCATTTTTTTGCTCATTCAAGTTGTTGGCAGAATCCAGCTCCCTGCAGCTGTAGGACTGAGGATTCTTTGTTAGCTGCCATCTAAGGGTCACATTCAGTTTCTAGAGGTTTCCAGCATCTCTTCATTGGTGGTCCCCTTCCTTCATCTTCCAAGCCAGCAATAGCGGGTAGAGTCCTCTCACAGTTTACATTTCTTCTGCCTTTTCTTTGGTTGCATCTCTCTGAGTTAAGCAGGGAAAGGCTCACAGCCACCTGGGTGGCCCCAGTCTAGTAACCTGAGCCCTTAAAATCTGGGAGCCTTTCTCTGCTGAACTTTCATACCTGACTTTGTAGGTGTGATTAAGGTCACTCATCTTTGTGTCTCAAGATTGGTAACCTTAATCACACCTGCAAAGTCCTTTTGCCATGAAACATAACATACCATAGGTTCTGGGGATTGGAGTATAGGCATCTTTGGAGGCCAGTATTTGGCCTGCCATAGAGTGTGATCCAAGAGCTTCAACTCTACACCCTCTTACCCCACCCCTCACAGATTCTGGTCCTAACTCACAGTACCTGTGAGTGTCACCTTATTTGAAAAGAGGGGCCTTTGCAGATGTAATTGACTTAAGGATTCTTTGAAATGAGATCATCCTGGATGAACTGGATGGGCCCCAAATCCAATGACAAGTGTCCTAGTAAGAAAAGGAGAAGACAAAGACAGTGGAAGCCAGCCTGGGGAAGACCACGTGAAGGAGGAGACAGAGGCTGGGGTGACGCAGACACAAGTCACAGATCACTGAGGATTGCCAACAGCAACCAGAGGCTAGGAGAGAAGCAGGAAATGCTTTCCCCCTCAGTCTCCAGACGGTGCTGTGCAGAGCATTTCCAGCTCTGCTGACACCTTGATTTTTAGTTTTCTGGCCTCCAGAACTGTGAGAAAATAAATTTCTGTTGTTTTAAGCCACTCAGTTCATGACAAATTGTTATGGCAGCGACAGGTAACTAAAACATACCCTCAGTGCTCAGCCTGGATCCAGCATGGCTCTGTGACCAGCAACTTGCAAGATTAGAATCCCAAGAAGGGCCCTCCCGAGCATGGGATGGCAGGTCTTCCCTTCGGCTGTTCAGCGCAGAGGAAGCCATGGCTACAATAAACAGAAAGGTGTCTCCGTGAACAGGTAACTGGTTGGCTGCCCAAAGTGGACAACCTTTTCAGGATTGAGAAATGGCAGTCTCCTTGATGTTTTAGAAATTTTTTCCCTGGGGGATCTGGCTTCATTTCCTGCTTGGATTTGAAGTCTGCAAGTATGTTTATAAAGTCAAGCATTTCCCTGGTGGCTCCCAGGTTCGTTTCAGCAGGGAGAGGGTAGTGGGGTGTCATTGGCGAGCTTTTCTGCTAAGAACTAAAGCAAAATTTCTCCTGTTCATGAACCTCCTTGCCCAAAGCAAATTTAGGGAGGCTCTCATGATGCATCTTTAAAAAACAACTTCTTAGAAACATAAGATTTGTTTAATCCTTTTAATTAACCAGGCATATAGTTCTTTGGGCAGGTTTGTGGTGGGGAGAATAATGGCTCCCCAAAGACATCTCTATCCTCATCCCTGTCCTAGAATGTTAGGTCACATGGTAGAGGAGAATTAATGCTGCAGATGGAATTAAATTTGCTAATCAGCTGACCTTAAAACAAGATTATCATGGATTATATCCAGGTGGGCTAGATGAAATCTCATGGGTTTTTGTAAGACAGGAAGGGAGGTGATATGAGAAGGACACTTCAACCAGCCATGGTTAGTTTTGAAGATGGCAGGGCGCATGAGCCAAGGATGCAGGCAGTCTCTAGAGGCTGGAAAAGGCAAGAAAATGGGTTTATACCCAAAGCCTGCAGAAAGAAAAGCAGCCCAGCCAGTGCTTTGACTTTAGCCCAGTGAAGCCCATTTCAGACTTCTGACCTCAGAACTGTAAGATGACACATCCCTGTTGTTTTAAGCCTCTGAGTTTGTGGTAATAAGACAGGAAACTAATGTAGGTGAGAAGCGGGAGATAGAAGCGGGGATTGGTGGTAGGAATTCCTTTTGGTGTTTCCAATGAGGGAACAGTTCCTAATGGGGACTGTTGATGAAATACCAGCCTGAGCTACCATCAGTTGCAGAAGGAGACTGGTGACAACAATCTCCCGAACACAGTTCTACTGCCAAGAAAACTGGTAGGACCCCCTCCCTTCCTTCCCTGAAGTGGGACTGCCTCAGACTTTCTGACTGTAGCAAAACCCCATGGGGTTCCAGGCTGGGAATGGCCACATCCTGACTTGTGGCTGTGGAGTATAAGGACGCATGGGAGTCTCCTCTCACTGCCAGGACAGCTGGCTCTGCATGAGGGCGCGCCTGTGCCAGCCACGCTGACCTAATGAAACCTTCAGCCCCTACATGGTGTCTGGTTCCTCCTGCAAAGGATCTTTGAGGCTTCCCTGTGTCTGCTTCTGTCTCTTCTGGTTCTTGCATGCTCTCCCAGGCCTTGTGAGAGCACCTGTCACGACAGGGCCACGTGCTTGCTCTGGGATGATTTGGAGAAGTAGTTGAACCTGCAGATATTCCAGGCATGCCCTCGTGCGTCACTTTTCCCAATAGCTTTTGTCTTCATCTTCTCAAATGTCTCTCGGAGCACCGGCTCCCAGCCTCCTGGCTTGGAATTCATGAGAATGGTGCTGCTGGAATCTGAGCTTGTCAGCGATGGCTCTGCCTGCCTAGCCCCAGCGGCAGAAACAGGAGAAGAGCTTGTGGAGGCTGGGCAGGGCCCGGCAGAGTCAGGATGGCTTTGGGGGTCACTGCAACCGGACTTGCGCCAGCACCTTTCCAGTGCCGTAGGTAACCCAAGGCTCCCTGCAGCCTGTTCCAGAATCTCCCCAGTGATCTGGTTAACTGCGTGGGATCCAAATCCCTGTTCCACCTCTCACCAGCTCTGTGACCTTGTGTCAATTGCTTATCTTTTCTGGGCTTCATGTTCCTTCCCTTGTGTGAAATGAGCAAATAGTAGGCAGACAATAATCATTAGCTATAATAACAATGATTATTTCTATTATTGCCAATTGGATCCTTCACCTTCCAGAGTCACGAATCTCAAAGTTCTCTCCAGCGATATTTTCCAAACATTCTAGACCCTCCTTTTCATAGTGCTCCATGTCTATCTCCAACAGTTTTATTGAGGTGTAAACACCTAGTGAATTGCATCTTAATATGCACGGTGTGCTACGTTTTGATGTATGTATACACTCTGGAAACCATCACTACAATCAAG